CATGAATGTATAACAACAATATTGCCAAAGCATCATACAAACTACATAAGAACAATCAAGCCCATACATTTCATTAAACAAGTAATTAAAGCGTAAAGTAATCAAAGCATATGTATGTGTGTGTTAAAAAAATAAAAATATATTAAAAATGAAAATAAAATAAATAAATGAAACAGTAACGTGTGTGTGTATTTAAAAAAATAAAAATATATTAAAAATGAAAATAAAATAAATAGATAATACCGTAAACATGTGTGTGTATATTAGACAAAAGATTTTTTTTAAATAATTAATTGATAAAAAAAATAATAATAATAATAAATAAAAAGAAATGAGTATCAAATTTAAAAACAAAACAATTACTAAAATATCAAACAATCAAAATAATAAGAATTTGAAAATTTGTACAATTATTTATCAGTCTGAGGTTCCACTAGTTGTCCTCACTTCATGGCATGAGGAGACATATTTTGTAGCAATTATTTCACATTTGGGCATTTCTCCCAGTAAATAGGGGAGTTTCTGTGTGTCTGATATGAATTTGAATTTGGGGCATATTTGGGAAATGTTTGCAAAGTTTTTTTTGTCTTAGTGTTTTATATTTAGGACATGAGGTTAAAAAGTGCAGCTCTGTCTCTACCTGTCCCCTGTCACACTGGGAGCAGAGTCTCTCCTCTTGTGGTAGCCAGCTCTGTCTGTGGCGACCCTTTTCTATGGCCAGGCTGTGTTCACTCAGTCTGTATGTTGTCAGCATTTTGTTCAGTTTGGGACATTTTATTGTAATCAGGTAATTTGCCAGTGTGAATTCTCTTTTTAGGGTCAGATAACATTGTAATTTACTTTGTGTTTTGGTCGTTTCTTTCCAGTATTCAATACATTTTTCTTTCTGCTTGCTGATAATTTGGTTTGTTCTGCTACAGTTGGTGTTGCTGTCCTGAGGCTGTTGGGGACTTGTTACTGCAGAGAGCCTCAGGACCAGCTGGCTGAGGGGACTCTTCTCTGGTTTCAGCTCCTGGTATGTTAGGGCTTTGTGTGGAGGGTTAACTGATTTTAAGTGATTGTAAAATTTAGTATTGGCCGAGCTCTGCTCTGCACAGGTTATTGATGTTTTTCTCTGCACCTGCAGGATGCTCTTACAGAACTCGGTATGGAAAGATTTTATGATTGTTTTGTCCCATTTGTGAAATTCATTATTAAGTTTTGGCCCCCAAATTTCGCTGCCATATAGAATTATTTGTTGTGGTGGCAGCCCGGCTGACGGTGAGTGTCCTGTTTTTTTCTCCTTATCTCTTATTCTGCTTTTTCCTTGGTTTTCTGTTCCCTGCCTGCCTCCCTGTGTTTTCTCCCCTGTGTGCTCTCTCTCTCCCTCTGCTCCTGAGCCCAGCCAACTACCTGCACCTGCATCTCATCAGCCACCTCGTCAGCCTGCCACACCTGCCAGTAGTCAACCTCATCCCTGCCTGTATTTCAACCCCGGTTCTCCACACCGCTCTTGCTTGATTGTCGTTGCTCCTTACCCGGTGCCACCTCCACGTTCAGGCTCTCATGTTTCTTGTATTTTTTCCTCACATTTTCCCCGTGCATTGTCTCTGTCATCTCTAACCCTGTCTCTCTGTCCCTCCCAGGTACACTCACCCTCGTCCTCCGTTCAGTCGGCTGGGCTCATCCACCGGCCCTCTCCTCCTCGGACTTCCCCCACGGCGTCCTCCCCGTTCTCCCACCGCTCCTCGCTTCCTCGGCCCCAGTGTTCCCCGGCTCCCTGGCCCCCTGTCTCCTTGGTTCCCCGTGCCAGTGTTTCCCCGACATCCACCTCTCCCTCCACTCCAGTCCCTCTAACCCCTTTTTCCCTCAATAAACCTCCTTCCCTCAGAGTGCTGCGTTTGGGTCCTCTCTGTCCACACACCACACAACCTCATAACATTATTGGTTCTAGTACAAATTGGAAAATTTTATGCCAAATTTCAATTGGAATATAGATTTTAATGTTTCTTTTTATTGCATGGAAAGCTCTCCTTGCTTTGTCCCTCAGATCTTTCACAGCCATGTTGAGGTTTCCTGCGTATGTAATGTTGAGGCCAAGGTAAGTGTAGTTTTTTGTTCTAATGTTCACCTTGGACTTTAAGTGCATCGTACATCAATGTATTTGAGCTCTCTGATATCAGAGGTATCAGTGACTTGACTTGTTTTGCATTTTGACCCTAACCTTTCACTGTTTTAACAATTACAATTTCTACAAATGCACTCTTCACAATTTGGAAACAAACAGTCTAACTTTCATCCAACTTTTCAAAGCACTATTTCACAAAATGCGTCCAAATTCTATGCAATGCTTAGCATCCAAGTGTCAAATCTGTGTTTCACAGTGTATTGGTGGATTGCTTCGTATTTGTTTACAAATCACTTTGACACTGGTTTACTACAGGGAGTGTGAATGTGATCCACAAATGTAGTCAGCCAATCAGGGGCATTGCTTCTTGGTGATGTCACGTCCCCTCATGATAACTTAAGTGCTGAAAAATGATTCCCCTTTCATAGTTTGGTTGGTGAAGTGTGCCACTCATCTCTAATGAAACATATTCAAATTGAAGTTGTGCTAAGTCAATTAACTTACAGTAGTGACTATTGGAAACAAGTGCACAGAGGCTGATTATTTGGCTTTAACTGTAGCAACTTGGGCGGATCCAGTTTCTGTTGTAATGTCAGCTCATCTCTGTTTACAACTTTACCCTGACAAACATTAGCTTGTTCCTCCCAGGCCCACAAGCAAAATCTCACTATGAATTAAGTGGCCATGTAATGTCAAATGTTCTGTATAACGGAAGGCAATACAAACTCCTGCATGAAGACCATGAAATTTCCTCAGATATGCCATGAAGTATGAGGAACATAGATCTCTGCCATATTTGTTGGCCCTTTCTGGCATGTATTTATAATTTTAACAAAGTTGGGATGTTTTGGGTTTAACTGCTGGACACTAGGTGTGAACCCAAATAGTCAAAGATGTAATGATTTGATAGGTGGAGCCAGTTTTGATTCCCAATCTCACAGTTGAATCTTCGCAGAGGCGTTATGAAATGAGGATCATGGACACTGATAAAAGATAATAGAAGATAAGGAAAAGGCGAAGTGAAAATAGCACGGGGGTTGCAGTAAAATATATTTGTAGCCAATCATTTATTATCTATTTAACAAGCGTGACTGATCAAACATAACAATGGTGAACAACTGAAAATAGAACTAAGTGAAATTTTCTTTTCTTCTTCTCTTCTTTCCAATTTAACAGTAGTGGTGCTTATTTTGCAATTCTTTTAAGAGTAAATGGACTACTTATATAGCGCCATTCTAGTTTTCCGACCACTCAAAGCACTTTACACTACATGTAACATTCACATACACTCACAGAGGAATCTGGGGTTCAGTACCTTGCTCAAAGATACTTTGACATGCAGATTGGATGTCAGGGATCAAACCATCAACCTTCTGGTTAATGGATGATCCACTCTATCTCCTAAGCCAGTCCTAGTGTTTAGTAATTTTGTCGTGGTTAAGACTCCAGAATGTATGTGGAGTCACAAATATTCTACTTCTACATATCTATATCCTGTTTGTATCATGTTTTCCTCCTCTCTGAAGGTATTGTATCAGTGTACTGCATTCTCAGCTTAGTATGCCAGGCATACAGCCGCAGTCTAGGAACCTGACACAGGACTGCACAATATGTTCCAACACTCACTCATTAAACGTAAAGTTTTATTGGTTGCTAGAAACTGTACGTCACTCAAACTAGAGTGGGCAATGTCATCAACTTGTTGAACACTTGCTGAATTTACGATGTACAACAACCTGGGTAACATAATATTGATGCTCGTCTGGTGGACAAAGCATTGAATCCAGCTAGTTAGAGCAGAATGGGAAACTGACTCGGTATTCTGTTGTTCATACAGAGGCTGCAGGGTTCTGTTACTGATAAATGCTACACAAATGACGGAGGAGCTTATGGGACTCAGTGACAACATGAGTCAACAAGAAGATACTCCAATCTCTACAAGAACAGCCTCTACGGTGTCACCGTTTTTGTAGATATCAAAGTCCCCAGACTTCTGACTCTTTGACCCAAAGAGTGTGACTGGTAGCAGGAAACTGCCTTCTCTCGAAACAAAAGAAAGAAAACAAAGCAGCCCAACAACACCAGCGATAGCTTTCCAAGTCTCTCCTACACAGCCTGCACAGTAATGTCATTTTGTAGTGGTTATAATGTATGCACAAGCATTCATTTATTCGCAAATAGGAGCCAATCAATGTCCCCTCTCCCTGCTTATCTCCTTACAGACAGGTCAGTCACACTTGTGTCATATTAACATTTCAATTCCCAGATCCATGCCTCAACACAAAGGACAGCACAGATGAAAGCACAAAAACCCTGGCTTTTAAATGTAATTCATTATGAATGCAAGTATCTTGCCTGATTAAGTAAAACAAGGCCACGCTGGGATACAGAAATAGCAGCAACACTTGGTTTCCCTCAGTCTTCAGTAAGTAATAATGAATAAATGCAATTGAGCATGTACAATGCAACTAACCCGATTTTGGACATACTATGCATGGCGTGTTTGCACATGCATAATGCTCCACATTGTGTTAATGTTCTCTGCATTAATCCTGTCATTCAAAGTGCCTCCACAGCATTTACATCCATTCTGTTATCCTAATTAATTAGTCCAATAACAACAGGGTCATTTTATTTCCTGCGAACAATTACATTGTAATGATGATCTGGAAACAGGTAATGATGGTTAATAAGTGAAGCGAGAAATCCACTAGGGGTCAAACAAAGTCAATGATGGGGCGATAAACACAGAGGGCTGAGGGGAAGAGAGAAAAGCAGATAGGACAGTGAGGAAAATAAAGTAGGAAGCACAGGAAATGTGATACATTTAAGAGAAATGTGAATATAGCAGAAAACTGGTCAGTAGCTATGTATTTAAAAACAAACAAGTTACCTGAAGGGGAGATGAGTTTCCAGCTGATGGAAGGCTCTGGTTTACCACTGGCTTGGCACATCAGGGTGATGTTGGAGCCTTCATTTACCACAATATCTCTTGACAGGTTGATGATTTTTGGTGGTACTGTGAAAGCAATTTAAAAAAATGTGTACATTTAATAAAGGGTGAAGGGGAATAAAGGAAAATTTTCCACATCAAACTCAGTTTACTTATCATGAAAAGTACAATTGGAAATCAGTGATAGAAGGTCTTCTGTGGCTCTGAAGGAAGCTTTCCAAAGTCTGAAAAAATAAACCTGATGATGTCATAGTGATGCTAATAGGGCTGCACGATTAATCTAATCACAATTGCAATGTCATCATGTGTGTTTACATAACTGCAAAGGGGTGCGATTTAATTCAATAAAAAAGTGTGCTCTGTGTGTGTGTGATGTGCTCTTCTCTGTGTGCACTGCAGTCTGCTCATTATCCCCGCCCACACCGGGCTCTCGCATGTGCTCCTAAAAACATATATGTGCGAACCAGAACAATAATTTATGAGGAGCGTGCAAGTAATGTTTAAGACAACACCCTACCGTAACCCCCCTCCCCACCCCGCCACTAATTGTGCAAAATATAGTGGGACTGGCCACCAGAGCACAGAGAGAAATGCCAGTGGGCCGGTCGCTCTGTGACAGAGACAGAGATGTGTCGTGGGCAGCTGAAGAGGTAAGCCGGAAGAAGAAAACGAAGAAAGAAAGGAAGGTTGGGGTTTAGCTAACTAGCCGTTTAACGTTATCTGTATTGGTGCCTTTTGTTGTTCAACATGTTAAACTTTTCATAAACCTTTCAAATGTTGAACAATATGATTATTGAGTTACTTTAAGATTAGATTAGATGATACAAATTAGAAACCAATGTAGAGCATTTTTCTTGCACTAGGATTTAATGAATAAAAAAATCCCCAGAAATGAAACAGCTGTAACTGGATTTAACTAGCGGTAAAATAGCATACTAATATATGAAATTATAAAGAATATAGTATTAATATAACATTATACTAACAGTATACTATTAACTGAACATTATACGTTTTATTCAATGTTATATAATACTAATACACTAATACACTCAGTTATGCAGGTTGTGGACGGAGCCTCTGCAGTGGACAGATGTAGATTTAGCCAGAGCCAGGATGCCATTGTACCAGTATGTGCTGCTTCTAGCCCCCTCCTCCTTAGAGCAACATGCTACTTGTCCTGTTTTGCATCTGTTTAACTAAAGTTATTGTTATAAATACTGTTCAGTAATCTTGTTCACATAAAGTGTGCCATGGGTTGTGTTGGGTTAGCTGCTGATGTATCTTGTATCTGTCTCTGGTTCAAAAACTACAATCCCACATGCCACAAGCCACAATGCACCAGTCACAGTAGAGTTTTCTGTGATGAGTGTTTTAAAAAGCTGTGGCAAAATCATTATTTTGGACTGGTGGCAAAAAACCCTGTATTTCTTCTTATGTTCATTTAACTTTGTTCGAGCTGAGAAATACACATTTTAAAATGTCTTTGTGTCTTTTGTGCACTTTCCTTGATAAGCAAGCAAACAGACTCATAGCACCATTTGTTCCAATATATTGCAATTGCAAATTGCAATATTGCCTACAATAATCACAATATGACTTTTTCTTTAAATCGTGCAGCCCTAGATGGTAATGATCAGGGTTATCTCAGCTTGGACAATTTTATAACAGAAAGCCTGCATTACAAAGTGGGGGTGTGAAGTCTGATAGACGATGATGCTATGAGAGATGCTATGATTATGGGAAGTGTAGGAGCCAGCATTTTTGGATCTCAACCCCTACTTTGAACAAAAAGTCAGAATATCTTCTCTGCTTCATCAATATTTACCATTCTATTTTGTTTGTGTTTTTGTTCTTTGCATTTAAAAAAAAATAAAATTCTCCTCCAAGTCCTCATAACTTTTGGAAAGACTACTAATTAAAACTCTGCAAGTCATGGCTGGAATGTTGCCTGCTAATTAGAAACGTTAATGAATATTAACTTTAAATACTTTCATTATGTGCTTTGTCATGTGCCATTGTACCGTTTTATACAAAGTGTTAAAACTGAAAAAAAAGTTTTGTAGTACTAAATTGTCCAAAATCACTACCCTGCTAAGTGTTTTCCTAAACCTAGTTATGGTGCCTAAATTTAACCCAAACTGCAACAGTTTCAAAACAACACGTGTTTCATTTTGAATGTCCAACCGGACATTGCTTATGTAATATTTCTAACTTGACCGCAGAGCCCTGCCCATGCAAAATTGATGATATAACGGTACCTAGTGTGACAGCAAGGGATCTGTGACAAGGTGGGAGTGAGAATGTGTTCCTGTATCAATTGCATTCTGGGAACTTTTCAGGTGTGAACACTGTACTACACCTCCAGTGTGGTGCTAGTGAGTAGAGAAAAGGTAGCGTAGATAAGGGAGAGGTAGCTCAAAGGATCTAGTTCCTCTGGGAAAAGATTTGCAGCACAGGTTCAATTTTGGCATCATGCTGCACATTTTCAAAGCATCATGTCTGTTTAAATGTGAAAAATCACTTGTGAGTGATGTGTAGAGATGGAATGATTCACATTTTTGTAGTGTGTAAAATCTATCACATTCATGGATGAGACATTCCCTATTCCCTTTCCCACCAACAAATGCAAAACAGTGCCAAATGAATTATGCAAGCACTTCACTAGAGCAATTGTTTTTGAACATAAAGCTATGAATTATATCCTAAAATAAAACAGATTTCATTTAAACAGCGTAAACTCGATATCCTATTTTGCAGCACACAAATCAATAAAGGAAAAATATGTCAAATGAAAACTGAATCACTGTCACGTTTAATTCTCTCTGCTTTGTGGCAGAAATGTTTAATTCCCTATGGGCAAATAAAGCTTTTGTTACTGAGATTTGAATCCAACAAGCAAAGAAAATAAAATGTGTTCTTTCCTGCCTTACTCCAGTGTAAATGAAGTCCATGCAACTTGTTAGCCAGCACTACTTGTCATTCATGACTGCCTACTATGAAGCTCAGGGCCTTGCACAGACTTTCTAAGGAGCAGGGGTGAAAAAAAGGGGCATCTCTACCACATGTAGTTATGTAGGGTAAGGTTATTTTACCCTGAGGTCACAAGGGGGTGGAAGAGGCACACAGAGCGGAGCACACACCTCTGACCAAGCTATGAAACTCAGCTTCACTAACTTTTCTAAGTAGAAAACAGACTGCACAATTATTATCTTCTCAGGTGAACAACTATTACTTCCAACAAGTCACTTTACATTGCAGTGTTAAACGTTTGTGTACCTTGGAATGATGCGAATCTGACAATAAGTGTCAAACAATCATGTTTTTGTCACTACTACGCTACCTTTAAAAACCTGCTGGTAAAAAGACGGGCAATTTTCCAAACTCCATCAAGAGCCATAAAGCTTAGGAAATGTGACATAACAAACATGAGCGGTCCACAAACACAAATCTAGACATTATCATATATTCGGATTATAAGGGTGGAAAATTGTAAATGTTACAGGCTTTATTGTAATTTTTTTCATTTTGGCTACTAAAGTGCACCTTTGTGTACTATTACACAATGGTACACAAAAGTGCGGCATGACTTTATATGACCTATATGATTTTATTCATACTAAAGAGTAAATGGGACTGAAAGAGGAATTCACCAGATCTGGACTGTGTGTCGTTATAGCTATGTATCTTATTAAGAAAAGCTTTTGTGTGGGTGTTACATCTGACTAGCTTGAACAAGCATGATTGACTGCTGTTGCTGTAATTCACTCTCCATGTTGTCATTTCTTCCATTTCAGAAGTGTCACGTGATAGGGATGATGAATTAGGGATGGACACGTTGTGATTGATAGGACCTTAACCAGAAGAGAACACGGTTGTGCATCGTTTTCATAAGTCTGTTTCTGCCTGTCCAGACAGAAAATGCAATCCCAGAGTTTTCAAACTGCAACGTGGTCAGTAGTGTTTTCAAAAGTCTCCATTTTAGAGTTTAGTAGTGTGGATTAAAGGTAGCAAAGGTTATGCAATTAAAATTAAAAAAAATGTTTTAGTGTGGATGTTCGCCTTAAACACACAGTTTGTAATTTTCTGCCACCAGGGCCCTGTTTCAGAAAGTAGGCTTAACAAACTCTAAGCTTAACCCTGAGCTCTGAGTTGACTGAGCCTGAGGTGGGAAACTCTGAGTTTTCGGTTCCAGAACAGCTGATCACAATTAGTTCAATCAACTCCGATTATGTTGAACCTGATGTATATATTGTTTTCCTTCAAATTTGCAAATAATCTCTGAGTGGGGTGATAATTTAATCTGTTTCCAATGCTTGTTTCACTTGTTAAGAACTCCTGAGGATTACTGCACTGGTAGTCAATTGATTTCTTAAAGCACATTGAGTTGTATTGTGTTTGCACTTTCTGCTGTATACTACAGCTGCAAAAAATTATTGATTTCTTAGCAGCCAGACAATTTTACCAGGCTACCAGTCTTTTTCTCAAGGCAGACTGCTTAATCAAGTTGTCTTCTAAATGAATTATTGGACAAAGGTCCTCTCAGGCAAGCACCTTAACTACCCACAGTACATGAAAGTGATCATGGTCATGTAGAATTGCACAGCAGGAGGTTAAAGGATGATTTCGGTATTCCACGTAAATAAAAAACATCTTTAAGGAAACAAAACTTTCACAGTTGGTTCAAAATCTCCACCAGTGCTAAACTTTATACAGCTAAAGTGCAGAGTAAATTGCCTCTAAACAAGGACAGATCTATAATACACAGCACTTTGTTCAGGAAAGATATCGCCTACTCCATTGAGTATGTTGCTCCAAGGTGAAGACAGGTGGTAACAATCCGGCGTGTACAGCCGCATGAGTAGATCACAGCATTCGTTATGCCCTTTCCATTTTTATAGCTCGTTCAAAAGAACCACTGAAATGCTCCAACATAGGACCAAAGAGCTGGTCCTTTTAAATGAAAAAAAGCAACTGAAATCCGCAGAGATGGCACCTACATCTTTGGCAAGAAAAACCAACATGGATGAAAGCCCACACTAAGCCTGATGAGGTAATGTAGAACA